CATTACATAGACATCTGCAGACCACTTCTTGGATGTAATGCCACCCCTGAGGACCGGTTGAATGAGGTCATCCACCACTTTTTCTGCCACCAGGGCGGCGCCACTTAAAATTATTTGATATTTGACAGATTTCATAGTGAGGAAGTTAATTGTTTCGAAAAATGTAAAGGTTAATGTTTATTTCTGTACTATTAGTTATCTTATCTTTTTCTTTATCCTATCTCTCAAGTTGGCCCAACTTAAGAGATAGGATAGTTTTTTTGCGAATCAGTAAACCCCTTTTTTATTTGCGAATTTAAGGATTTTTAATGGGACTTGACAAAAGGTCGTCGAAAAGGGCAGAACAACGTCGGCCTGGCAAGCTTGTATTTTATCTTAATTAGATTAATAATAAATAAACCAAACCACAGATGTTCATAAAAATAGAAAAATTTAAATAAAATTTAAAAAGCAAACCACTGAGGCATTGCTTTGTGTATTAATTTTTTTTACCACAGCTAGAAACTGATAAACTTTTATTTAAAACTAAATTTTCAATGAAATTACATTATATAACAAAAAACTTCACAAACGTCGGCTAGTGACATCTGGTGACCAAAAAATTATAAGCCCTCATCAACTCACAGCCTGTAATTATACTGGCTTCTATCCAAATCAAAACACAGCAATGCAAGCAGTGCTCTTTAGTGACATGAATTGCTAATAGCTTGGTATCTACCCGGACGGACTTCTAGGCAGAAAAATCCCACCACCTAGTAAGTAAAATGCGTAGCATTCACAGGGTTACAGAGGGAACATCTCGTTACCAGTTTATTTTATAGGATAGGGTGACAAACGAGCATACAGTCCACCTGATTGTAAGTGGTTGCTGCGGCCCATAGACATCTCCATATATCCTCGGTTACGAATCAAAATGCAGATGCATTGTCACCCATAAGGACTAAGATAGAATGCCTCGTTTCCAGTAAAAAGGGTCTCCGGTTCTCTACACTCACCATAAGAAACACAGCAGCATTAAGCTACTATTTTACGCTGGTATTCTGTGAGAGCGTGGTCCTTTCTGATACCGCAATTTCACGTTAGTATTTTATGAGCGTAGTCCTTTTCTCGTCTCTTCACGATTAGATTTGTTGCCTTAATTACTATACCTATACTAATTATTTATTTTCTTTTGTTTCAGATTTCATGCAAGACGAACGATCCAAATTAGCAGTAAACTAATTACGTTTAGTATATTTCGTGTAAGGTACTATTAAGCAATGCCCATTCCGTTCTAAAAGTTTCTAAACGTTTAAAGCTATTTGAAAATTGTATTTTAAATTTTTGTCTATATAGTTCTTCTATAAAAAGCTAGGGAAAATTTCGCGTGTGTTTTATAACAATAGAAAAACGAGGACGACAACAAAACAACGATGGCTAGGCCTGAAGTTGTGCGATGAACCGACTTATGAAGACGAGGGAATGGACGAACCTAGCGTCACGAAGCGGCCCTCTGTGCTAACCATAGACAGGGCCGCATTTCTTCTACTGAGAGTCAAACGAGCGTTTAAGAAGAAGAGACAACAAAGGAAAGAAAAACAGTAAGTACAAACTGGTAATTTAGTAGTGTTGAACATGGCGTGGTGTGAAGCCTGTCCAAATCCACCCTAAGACAAATTCATTTGAATTGTGAGGCCGAATATTTAACGATTTTTAAGGAATACGGGTAACAAACGAGCACACAGTTGACTTGATGGTAAGTGAATACTGTGGTCCAATGATATCTACCTCTACCCTCGAGTAGGAATCAAAATTTAGATACGTTTTCACCCCTGAGGACTAAGATTGAATGCCCCTTATCCAGTAATAAGGGTCTCCGGTTACCTACACTTACCATACGAAATAGCAGTATTGATTTTACGCTGGTATTCTATGCGAGCGTGGTCATTCCCCGGCCGAGGTGACCCATTTGTGCTACAACCATAATACAACTGCAATATGGCTCTGTCACGTATAATGAGATTGGCAACCCTATGTTTAATCCACATATATACATGTTGGCAAACTTTTCGTGTGTTTAAAATGTAGTTTTAATTTCCTTAATTAAAAAAAGCTACCTCGCAATGTTTTCCTTTATCGCCGGGCACTTGGTGTCGGCACTTAAAATTGCGATTTGCAATATCAACACTGACAGTGGTAATGGAACTTGAGATGTTCGAGTAACTCATATATATATGTTGGCAAACTTTTCGTGTGTTTAAAATGTAGTTTTAATTTCCTTAATTAAAAAATGCTACCTCGCAATGTTTTCCTTTATCGCCGGGCACTTGGTGTCGGCACTTAATATTGCGATTTGCAATATCAACACTGACAGTGGTAATGGAACTTGAGATGTTCGAGTAATATGCCTGCGACTTAAGAAATTTATAACGAATTCCCAGCCTTTGAACTATCACAGCCCACCTTAAGCTATCAATCAAATTCTTTCATTATCATACTTTTTGCCTGTTAAATATATAAAAATCTTCCTCAATCTTGGAGTAAACCAAAGAACGTGCACGTTTATCCATTTTGTTTATACATAAAAAATAACAAGCCTTAATATTTTTAGTAGACATCTTGGTGACTATGGTATTGCCTGAACGTTAACCTTTCTTGTTTCGAGACATTTTGGAGATAAGAATGATTGGTATTTGCCTCACGTAACGTAGTAATGTAATCTTTAGCCTGCCGTACTGTTCTTTTAAGTTCTAAACGTTTCAATCCGCGACACTTCCCTCTTCCCTTTCAAAATAATGTTTCAGTTATTTTTTGGATGGCCTATAAATACGAAACACTTTAATATTAAAACATTAAATTTCTTTACTTGATCGCTTTTTATAATTTAATGGCCAAGATAATATGCCAGTTTTATATCGTTTTTTATTAATACTAGTAATGCTGACTACTGCGAATAATGTTAAATACATTACTAATATTCCCTTTAACCATTTGCATAGATCAGACAAAAAATTAATATCAAAAACTGAAGGTAGCCAGGCTAACTATGGCATCGGGACGTCAAACATACTAGTCCCGCCCACCCCCGAGACCATGGGTGCTGTAAAGCACCCGAAACTTTTTTATCAGTAATGTTACATAAAAATTATTCAAATTTGTTAAAAACCTTAAAATTGGTGCTATAGCATAATAAACACTATGAAATTTGTTAATGTTATGTTATGTTTTAAGAAATCAATTTACTTTAGCAATTAGTATAATCTACAATTTTTTGGTACAATAGTGGGTTTATTTATTCACACTGAATCGGGCTTTTTGGTAGAAATATAAACCATATTAGTTTCCGAATCAGGAAGTTTTTCTTTTTCTTCTAGTTTGTTTTTGCCTAAGTCCTTCTTTACTGAAGATTTATTTGAAAGTGCTGGTGTTAAATTAACAACTTTGATATCTCCTTTTATCTCATCTCCAACTGCATGTATGTCTGGTTTCTTTTTTAAAAATAATTCAGTATCCTTAGTTGTTAAAGTTTTCTTTTCCGGTAGCAAGTATATGTCAATTGTCTTTGATTTTATCGGTTCTGAGGGTAGAACCGGTCTTCGCGGAAAAATATTTTTCAGAATGTTCATTAATGACGGCAATAATAAATGATTTGCCTGAATAGGATTTGAAATCATTTGGTTTTGCTTTGGAGAAAATTCAAGGAAAACTCCATCCTCTTGAATATTTTCGTGAGAATCACAACACAATGTGGATGATATGAGGTCTTTGTTAAAGGAGAATAGGTCGTTGCTCATCAAAATTTTGTTGAGTATTTCTGAAGGATGGGTCACAAAAGGATCCTTCATGCCCCGAAGACTCGAGCAAGGGCAAGGTTCTTCCTCTGGGGAATCATGTTGTGAAGAGAAAAATGAACTAGATGGATGTAAGGATGAATCTTTCTTGGTTGACAAAGCTGAAAATGTAAAATTGTCTATGTAATATTAATACCTTTAATTTATTAAAGGTTATCGATTAATTTCCCAAAATAACATTACAAGTTACGTATTGAAGTATAGATGATACAAATTAAATAGTTAATATTATTAAAGAAATAATTATGGGTTTGATCATAGAATAGTATAATACATAAATAATATAGTATTCTATAGGTTTGATAATAAATTTTCAAAATACCTAATTAATTTAGGTGTGATGTGACAGAAAAATGTGTTTTTTTTGCATTCACATTTTAGTAAACGACTAATAAGATTAATTATTTAAATTAAAAACTAGTAATTAGATTTTAACTGCAGGTAATGCCAGTCGAAAATAAATTATGTTATAAAATATTAAGTTTTCATTACAAGATGGTATTTTAAGTAAAACTATAAAATGAGTATATTATTTAATCATGTCCCATGACAAATAACTTACCTCTTTGTTTATCGTTCATATAAAATGAAACATCAATTTTACCGAAATTGACAAGCGAATGACTTATAACTGGCACTGGCTTGGTCGGTCTAGTGTCCCGGCATATTACTCCTGTCAAGGACCCTATTAGTATTGTGAGTTTCAGCAGCATTACCTAAATTCAAATGTATTATTAGTATAGTTAGAAGAAACAAAAACTATATTCAAATGTAATCCAATTAAGAAAAAAAAGGGCTCAATATTTACGAAGCACAAATCGTTTGATGACACAAGCAATAAGAATAAACGGTCGATTGAAATTCAGCACAAATCAAATCACCCTGTTTCACAACTTCAATTTAGCGGTTTATGGGATTTGGATTTTACAGCCGGATTTCGTAATTGCAAAAACCCACGGAAAACGATTTTGAACATTATCGTAACATATATTTCGAACAATTTAAATGCCTGCCTATACGGCTGTTTATTTGTTTACATATTTTATATTATTTTATTTTATCGCATCATTATTACATCTCGTATCTTATAATAGTTTTCGTACGTAAATTAACCTTTTACGATAACGTAATAAAAATAAATATGTGGGGCTAAGCAATAAAATATTGCAGATGGTACTAACGATATCAAGTGATCGTTTAAGAATCAAAGATAAATTCAAAATTACTCTTTTAGTAGATCATTGACTCGCACGAATCCAAAATTCAAAAATGTTTTCTGCAACTGTAGCCTTTAAATATGTTGTAACATTTTTATTGAAACGATTATAATGTCCATAAATTTACTTTTAAAACTAATAACACATTTTTTAATTCGATGCAATGACAAAACTTATAAAGCCCCATTTCATGTTGCAGTTACAAAAAAGTCTAATATTTGATTTATAAAAAACATAATATATACATATAACATAATATAAGACATAGTCAAGTAGTAAAATAACCATCTCAAAAATAATATTTAATGCCCTAGGTAAACTAGACAAAGAAAGCGTGCTGATTGCAGGTAATAAATTTAATTGGTCGAGGTGTTTAAACTGTTATATGCTTGCGAGCGATCTTTATAAAAATATATGTGTTATCTTAGAAACTTTTGACTTGCTTGTCACTCTAATATTGAAGAAAACCTCTACATCTGCCGAAAGCAATTTTTCGGTAATGACTGAATAACTATTATTCAACATCATAATTCAGATAAAACTATCCAGATAAGCAAAGGGAGCTGCGTCAAAGGTGCGAACCGTTAGCTACAGCTGTCATTAATTTACCATCAATGGCAGTATATATAATATATATATATATATATATATATAAAAATAATAAAAGAAATAAAAAAAAAAAATATATATATATATATATATATATATATATATATTTAAGGTTTTTCAAAATCATAAGGTTTCTAGGCACGATCTACGACGATGAAAGTCTCGCTGAGGTTACAACTAATTTTATGACGCGTTTGAGTGTCGCATCGTAATTTGTTCCTATTTTCGTCTAAATACGTTACTGCGTATTCCACAAGCATGTTGCAGTGAAGCAATGAAGTTCACTTAAATTGTATTTATTTATAAACGTCGATTACTGACTCGGGTCGTAAACTTTCCGAAATACTCCTTACTTACTGGTTCTGTTTTCAGTTGAACCACTATAACGCACGAATGGCTGTTACGCATATTCATCTCGCTATTTTCGTAAGTTATAGTATTTTTTTACATCAGCTGCTCTTACAACAAACTTAAATTTGTGATTTTTCCCATAATCAGCCGTAAAATTTTATGAAAGCAGACCTTAAATATTGATTTTGTTAAAAGGGTTTTTTATGATTTCATTAATTAGTAATTGTTTTCACTGTTTGATAGCAATATTTTATTATTTAAAAGTATAATTATCTCTTTTCTTTTGGTTGTTTTGTTTAATTACTATAACCTTCGTACTTAAAACCGTTTAATATGAAAACACTATTATCATAGTTTAGCAACAATGGAGTCTTTAATTTCCACTGTAATAATTTTTTAAAGGTTATTATTAAATCCATTTCAAACTACGCAGCAGTAAATGTGTCAAACAGCACACCACCAGTGGTAAAAACTATATTAGATCCAAAACGGCGAAACGACATCGTCGATGAAGCGTTTATGGAGCAAAAAGACGTTTTGTTAGATATGGTAAGGTCTGATTAAAGAAGTAAGCATTATTGATTTTATCTCCGTTTTAAAGCACATTTTTCTCACATTTGAAATTTAAGTTAAAATAATAAGTTGTTTCATAGATATTATGTATTAATATTAAAAAATGAATTGATTTATAAGTAAAAATATTTATTTAAAATATTTGCAGTTAGAAACAAAATTAAAAGAAGTACGCGATAAGAAAAAGAAAAAAGGCGATCGGGGTGATGTTTCGAACACTACTAATTTTTCGAATTATAACGGAGATAGTGCTAAATGTGAGCCTCTACCTAAAAATGTTGATTTGAAAGTAAATGCGCATGGAATAAGTGCAATCGGTGAAACCGACGTAAAACTAAAATTTGGAGAGACAGGTTTGGAATAACATTTGTTTTAAAGCTGATTTTCAATTGTCAGACAAAAAGTTTTGAATCAAACAAATTATAGCATGGCTGCTTATAAAAGTGAAACAATTAAACCACTTTCTTCATACATACACTTTAATTTTGTATATATTGTATTTTATTCTTAAAATAACTTTTATTACATGCTTCTTACAAACGAACACATAGTCCACCTGATGGTAAGTGGGTTATTGTGGCCCATATACATCTATATCCATCGTGGATAAAGAATCAAAATGCAGATGCGTTGTCAGTTGTCACCCCTGAGGACTAAGATTGAATGCCTCATTTCTAGTGAAATGGATCGAAATGTTGGAGCCGACCCATTTTTGCTACAACTATAACAAGGCTGCATTATGGCTCTACCACGTGTTAAATAGACTATATAGATTTTATTTACATTTACGTAACTGAAGGAAAAATATAATGGGCAAATTTGATTATAGGCAATGGTACTCTCAACCTAGATGCCACAGGTATATCTAATATAGGCCAGACTCACGTAGATTTAGGTGTTGGTGACGGAAGTGTTCATATACCCGGATTAAATAATATTTTCATTGGTAAGATTTTTAATAATAATTAAGATTTTTATAAAAACTATATAAGATTCATTAATTATTTACTATATTTTAAATCAATGTAGTAGTATTAATACTACTAAGACGAAAAATGGAACTGATATGTTAATATCTCTTTGGTATAAATCTAGCTGATAAATAGTTTTAATTTTATTATTGTCTTAAGGTCCTCTCTTTCAAAGAAAGGCTTGTGAATTGATAAACCAAACAACTACTGTTTCATCAGCTACAAGTTCAAATCCTGCTTTTATTGATTTAAAAAACCACAATGGCAGAAGAATGAATAACGATAAATTTAACAATACAGTAACATTAGAGTCCAATAGTACCACACCGAGTAAAATTGACTACCCTGGTTTACATGTGAATAGTACCGAAAAAATACCTCTAGATGTTAAACAAAATAATGATACTGTTAACGCTGTTACACCAAATTTGAAGCAATCTGTCACTCCTTCAAACAACACCAAAACATAGGAACGGTTATAACGGGCGAGCAAAGGGATGTTAATCCAGAAATTATGTTCAAAATATCATATTATTACACAAAACAAAAAATAATTATTTGTAAGTGTGTATACAAAATATAATAAATCAAAAAGCTTGTATTTTTAATTAAATTTAAATTTTGAAAGTAATAAAAATACATTTTGCTATTTTGTGGTCCTATTATTTGTACCTTTTATAAAGCACGAAAGTAAACTAAGCTAACCACTAAATCAATTATTTCGTCAGATCTATAGTGTATTGAAGCGTTTCAATGTTTATACTTTGTAATCATCTAAGGGGGAATATGCCATCTTTATTCTCCACGTACCAACCTTCATTGCATTTGGTGCACTCTGCTAATCAGAGGATGAAACTCTGTTAAATCTCAATGATGTATTAAATGTACTTGAAAGTAGTTAGTATGAACAGCTAGCTTATTCTATGTACGTAGAAAGGTTTTGTCAAATTTGGTGACTATATTCATTTTATTTTCTGCTCTTTATATATCGTAATCAACTCACGACCAGTGGTACATTATCAGCATATTTAAAAATCAAATGAATACGTAATTAACTGCAAGCAATGACTTATAAAACCGAGGCATGGTCCTACAATTTTAACTGTATGAGGAAGCCAAGCGAAGTGTTGACAGGGCTGTGCTCGGAGTTTCTCTGCGTCATAAAATCCTTAGTATTCTCATAAAGATAAAAGTAAAAGTAAAGGCCAGCAATGCATATGGAATTCCCGTTGTTGCAGTTGTTCATGAGCTCGTTTTTATCATCTTATATAAAAAGTACCTGACAAAATCCAACGGACCAGTAAGTAGCACGGGGCCAACCATATAGCTCGAAGGACTGACAATCTATCAGAAGAAACATTTTTAATGTGAGTGATGAGAACCGGAGAGGCCCTTTTTATTGGTTATGAGGAATTCCATCTTTGTCCTCAAGTGTCTCAAGGGGATAGTGCAGCTGCTATTTTGATTCTTAATTAAGAATAGGTATAGATATCTATATGTGGTTTTGACAGTCCTCTCTTGATGTTAACCTAACACTACTCAAATAATTTTGAAGAAACCGAAACAGAAAATGAAAATCTAAGGGTGCAAGGTCAGAAATACAAGGTGGATGCATCAACACTTCCCAACCAAACTCTGTCAATTTTTAAGCTGAGTGGCCAAAGATGTTTGTGGTTTGGTGTTATCATGATGAAAGACCACTCCTTTTCTGTTGATCAATTCCAGCCTTTTTTTTTCTCAATTTCTTGCTTGACTGTCATTAGATAATGCCAGTAGAGATCCGAGTCGATGGTTTTTCCCGGTGGTAAAAGCTTATTATACGATGCCCTTCTAATTCCATCATACACACGGCATCTTCTTAATGCGTAATAAACTTTCCATCAACAGTGATTAATCTTATCAAAAATGATTCGGTTTCATTACATTTCAACAGAGAATCGCAAATGAGTACACGATTCATTAGGTTTCTTTCAGTGAGCTCGTGTACCCAAATACCGAGCTTTTTTGTATAGCCAGACTACAGGTAATTCGATAATACCTTCATGTGCCAAACCACCGAAGTTGTATGGGTTACCAAAAATACACAAACCGTACGCTCCATTACGTCCAATAGTGAGTCAGATTGATTCGCCAACTTACAGATCGGTTCAATACTTAGCTAAAATATTATCACCACTCAGAGGACACACAAGAGCTCACATTAAGGATTCATACCATTTTGTCAGTGAGATAAAAGACCTACATCTTACTGACAATGAAACCATGGTCAGTTTTGATGTTCAGTCTCTATTTACATGCCTACCTGTTGAAGACTGCATCTCAATTATAACTAGGAAACTAGAGGAAAATAATATGCCAGCAGAATATGCAGTATTGCTCAGACGGTACCTTACATCTGGCTATCTATTGTGGAAGGAAGAGTTTTACAAGCAAGTAGATGGTGTTGCGATGGGCTCGCCTGTATCTCCCATTGTCGCCGATATATTCATGGAAGACTTTGAGGAGAAAGCTCTCCTTACTGCACCTGTTACACCAAGGATCTACAAGCGGTACGTAGACGATAGTTTCATAATTTTACCATCAGACAAAGTAACTGCATTTTTAGAACATCTTAATTCCATAAACTCTAAAATTCAATTTACTATGGAGTTAGAGGCAAATAATTCCTTACCTTTCCTAGATGTGTTAGTCATCCGAAATCCTAACAATACCATTGGTCACACTGTGTATAGGAAAAAGACCCATACAAACCGATATTTAAACGGTGAATCTCACCACCATCCTTCACAGTTAGCTACCGCGGGCAAATCTTTGTTACAGAGAGCACGAGGGATCTGTGACAGCAAACACCTGGCCGCCGAGCTTCAGCACGTCAAGCAAGTTCTGCACGACAACAAGCTTCGGGTCCCGCGCCTACGTCACTGCTCTACTACCATATGTTAGAGGTGTCACAGACAAGATTGGCTACATCTTGAAGCGAGCTTCTTTTAGAACATTCTACAAGCCGCCGAAGAAGATTAGTCAGTTCCTACCATCAGTCAAGTGTCATATTCCTCTACAAGATGCAGAAGTGTACAAGCTTGATTGTGAATGTGGTCTCTCTTATATAGGACAAACAAAAAAATCAATTAGAACCCGCGTAAAAGAATATATAGCTAATGTGAAGCATCAACGTTCCGGAAAGTCTGCAGTTTACGATCATATCCTAGACGGCCCCAGCCATTACGTCAGATTTGATAGACCACAAATCCTCGCGAAAGAACACCGATTCCTATCAAGGATGATACGTGAGGCTATTGAAATTAAAAAACATCCTAATTTCAATAGAGAAGGAGGCTGGGTACTACCACCTGCTTGGGATCCTATAATCAATAAAATTAAAACTAAACCCAAGTATACCACTGCAAGACCTCAGGACATAATCAGTTCATTTTGCATAGATCGGACCATAAACAATAATTAAAAAAGCTGAAGGTACTCCGGGTTTAACAATGACATCGGGACGTCACTCATCTCAGTCCCCCGTGACCATGGGTGCTGGAAAGCCCCCGAAACGTCGGGAATTAAAAATAATAGTAAAATAAACGCGATAAAATCCATAAAAGTAATTTTAATCAATAGCCAGACTTTTTCAATACATACATAATACATAAACACTCACGCCTGTCACCCAGAGGGGTAGGCAGAGACTACAGACTTCCTTTTGGCACGATCCTGACACACCTCTCTCGCCTCCTTCACATCCATACACCTACGCATACATGCTCGTCGGTTAAGGGTACTCCTAATTTGGCCCGTTTTCAATAAATCGCCAATTTGGTCGATACATTTTTGCCTAGGACGTCCCTTTCCGACTCTGCCATTCACTTCTGCAACATAAATTTTCTTTGTCACTCTTTCCTTATTCATTCTTTCCACATGACCAAACCACCGAAGCATTCCTTTCTATCCTGGTCGCAACATCATCTTGTAAACCACACTCTTCTCTTATTAAACAATTTCTTACCCTGTCATTCAGATTCAGCCCTAACATACTCCTTAACGACCGCATTGCTACTGCGTTTATTCTACTCTCGTGCTTTTTCAAATGGGTCAAAATTGTTTTGTGGTCAATTCTAAACACCTTGGTTATATCTTACTTATTAATATGTGAATCTTAGGTCACTTTTTCAAAAATGGCATCAAATTTATCGGTATTTCTAATTGACTATAGATATAGATGTCTATAGGCCACAGCATCCACTTCCCACTAACCATCTGGTGGACTGTGTGCTCGTTTTTAAAATGAAACGTAAACTCGCACTCTTATTTTATAAAATGAAACGTAAACTTATCTTGTCAAACGAGCACGATACACAATACGTCTGGGTCGAACTTTCTGCTCTCTTTAGCAATTAAAGTTAGAACAACCTCCCACCACCTCTTACAAAAATTAAGTCGCAGTATTATTTTAAAGCACATTCAAAGCTTAATATAAGACTTTACGCTTGGCTGTTTTTACAATTCAACAATCTAATTACTAATTGGGTACGTGTTATTTTAATTTCGATACTTTTTAATTAAAACATTTATTTAGTTCAAAAAATTTTTGTTATTTTTTTATTACCGAAAGTTTATTTCAAATTATTAGTATTTATTGATATAACAGTTTCATAACATGTAAATGAAAAATAAAAAAAATTGTAAAATATCAGTGCAATAGGCTTCTATTCCGTTCACCTGTATTTCCGTACATTCTACATTTTCCAGATGGTAAAAAAAATCACCCAGTATATAAAAAATAGCCTCGTATAAATATACGGTTTTTTTTTCAAAAAAAAAAAAATATGAATAATGATATACCGTTGTGGCTGTGGAAGGAAAATCGGGAGATCTCCCCTGCTCAGCCCGGAGGTCGATAGTGCAGCCTCGTTGCCGACGAATGTGCAAGGGCCAGGAGATATTCTTGTAGTCTGCGGTGAGTCGAGAAAAAGGCTGGTAATCTGCGAGAGTGCCATGAAGCAGAGGCAAACAGTAAGGCTCAGAGCCATACTGAACACCGTATAGCGCAGAGAGTAGCTTGGAGAAACAGGAAGCATTATTATTGCAGTGCTGCGATGAACCTTATGAAGCTAGATGCATAGATATAGATGGCTTTATAGATGGGTTATAGATGGCTTGCAGGATATGAAGACTGCAGACGATATCTGCTCGGGAGCGAATGGGTGGGGTACTCTATGACGATGATGAAGCTTGAAGTTTCCGAAGGTTGTTGGTTACGTGTTCAGATCACGTCGGTGTCACCACTGTGGCCGTGGAAGGAAAAAGGGAGATCTTCCGTCGCGCAAGGTGTTCTGCCCGGGGAGCGACCAACACTACGTGTGATAGTTCGGAGATATTCCGTATATACTGTTTATGATTCGGAATTTTGATGGCGTGATTTAGGCTTAAGTGTGTTTCGCTTGTGGCGTGACGACAGCGCCGTCACACC